TTCAAAATGTGCTCTCTATATCCATTTTTTTTCTCATCCTACTAAATTATTCCTAGCATTCAAGGGTACCAACCCTGTTGAAAATTTCCTTCCTTAAAATATCCCAAGGCACAAGAGAGTTAAGTTGCCTTTCTAAAATGCAAATAGCAGTGCATAAGAGAGGGTAACCATTTCAAATAAATGCAAGACAGCATTTTCTTATCATCATCTGTCCCATAAGACTTGCACATGAAGAGAAAAGCCAACATTACGCTATGGTTTAATGGACGAAAAAGAGAATAATAATAAGGTACATTACTAGCACTATGTAAACCAAGAGCATAATGACTGTATACTTTCATCGACTTGTATCAGTATTACAGCGAGATACTAGTTAAGTACCAAAGCTACGAGGATCTTCAGTGTATTGCACGGAAATGTACTAAAAGAGGAAAATACAGCAACCCCCGTACGTAAGTTTTGCTCGGGAATGAGTGACAGGTTATAGCCAATGCGGTCTGCTGCGGCTTCTAAATTCTCCTTACCCACTTTCTGCTTACAGCCCAAATGTGGTTAGCCTTCACATTGAATGAGACAGATACACAAAAGATATTAGTAAGACAGATAAGATTTTTTTTTTTTTTTTTTCTTTTTTTTTTTTTTTTTTTAATTCTTGTAAAAGCTGTGTCCAAAATATATGTGCCAATAAAGATCCATGTCTGAATAATCATCTATTACCTATATTCCTCTCACTTCATGATTTTATTTTCCTAATGCCTTGCTATAACACAGTGTAAATGAAAAGTATTTATTGCATAATTTTTTCAATACTTTATCAAGTTTTTTTTTTTTTTTCTATTGCAATTTTCTTCAAGTCAGTCAGTGAATACACATATGCTATATATATATATATATACACATACATGTGTGTGTGTATGTGTATTTTTATCTATATAAAGTTGGGAAATATGCTAAGCAAAATCCAGAAAGGGGACTCCTTCCTATCCTAAATAAAAGGCCCCTGGAATAATAAAAAAAAGTTATCCTATAGTTTTCAAATACATCTGTATCTGAGATGGGTGGTAAATACCAGGTGAAACCAGATTTCATAACACAAATTTATAAAAACCTTATTTCTTCCCTTTCCAGGCCTGTCTGAATTGAATTCTATAGCCTGGATTTAAGCCTCTTGTTACAGATCTCGTATTCATGGTTGTAAACTATCACCCTCTATGAGGTGTCAACAGATAAATGATGTTTATCTAATGAAGATATAATCAAACCCAGTCAAATACACACCTTGTATTGTGAAGATATTCATTCTCATTCATACTTTTTCTAGAAGATATACTAACATAGCATCCATTATATTTCTCCGTTTTCATCTATTATATTCATTTACTTTGTACCCCATTGAGGCAGAGTTACCGCCTCTGCACACAATCTATCTTAGCCTTGGATGAAATTACTAGACAGAACTGTTTTTCTGAACATTGCTTGCTTCCTTGTTTTATTAGTCCACGGACTTCTTTCTAAATATTGCTTGATTTGTTCTAATGGTCCAGAGATTTGTATAAACAATAATATTTTCCAATGTTAAACATGTGTCACCATTTTTCTTAACTGTCTCTTGTCTGTACTTCAACGTTCCAAATTCAAAATTAAAACTGAGACAGCAAACCTGCAGCATTGCGTACTGTCAGTAGTGGTCAGCAACATTAGCTGGCATGTGGTAATGATCTCATGAAACATTTCGAGGAACATTAGTTTGGTACTGATATTGATAAATATAGATAGAGATAGTGATGTAAGCATATGTAGCCACATACACACAATATATTTCTGTAAGTGCATGTGGGAGCGTGCGCAAGTGTGTGCGCGAATGTGCCTGTGCATGTGTCGGTGTACCAAAATGTTAAAATCTTTCATAAACTAAATGACAAGACATGATTGATATTACCTCTTCCATGCTCATTATACTTGCTCAGTCCACTTTACAGTTTACTCATTTCATTTACACACAGGTGTCTCCAGAAGTCTAAGCATTAAGCTTTCATATCCCTCCCCTATTTACTCTGTTCCTTGTTTTATCAGATTTTTTTCTTAGCTGTAGTTTCTTAGTAGTATTGCTAATAACATTATAATAACTATAATACAAATAATAATGCTAACAACCACAATAAAACTAAAGTGGAGATTGCATGTGCATGAGTTGATACTAAAATAAATGCAAATATTAAACTTGGTTGTATCAGTGACAAAGAATACTATTTTGTAACTGCCCTGCAACAATATAAAATGTAATTTTGTAACTACAGTTTCAACCAAATAACTGAATAATATATATTTCCTGCAATTTAGGTTCCATTTCTAATTTCATCTCAACACCTTATTATACAAGAGCCAATGTAGTATGGCAAAATATTTCTGCACATTTTTCTTGACTGTTTGCAATAAATAAAATGTATTTTTTTCTTTTGACACTAGAAAAATGGACAATTGCAGAACATTCTGACACCTTGACACTGGCAATCTGCTTTCAAATTGGTTTACACTTTGGAAATCTTACAAATCATTGTACGTTTTTCATATACATTCATATCTCCTATAAAAACTCCCTCACTCTACCACGTAAAAAACACGTTGTAAGATCCATAATGTTGTTCAGCCATGTATATACAATCACATAACTGCTGATAATTAAGAATGGCCTATCTGAAGCTCCCACATAAGGTTTTATATAAAACCTCAAACTGATAGATCTACAGTGCCTTTATAAACAGAACTTCTTTGACCTATCTTCTGAACATGATTCACATCCTGATGAAACTTATATGGATACTACTAGCTAGTTTTACTTTACAACACTGCTTCTACTAATTAAAAGTCACCATCTTTAAAAAAACTAAATAAAAATATACCGATACTTAATAAATTGTTCTAAATAATCCTAAAAGTAAAAGTCATACACATTTTAATCTCCCCTAACCAACATAACCAAGCCTCTGCTATCACAAAAACACTTCTCACAGCACTTCTCATGCAATACTACAGTAGCACTGAAGTATCCAATATACCACCCATCTTTTGTTTTCTTCTTTTAAGTAGTGTTCACTTTCCCCTTGGACTAAATGCAGGTGGGTGTGGGTGTGGGTGTGGGTATGTGTGTGGGCGTGTGCATGTGCGCACGCACATTAACTTTCCTTGATATCTCTAAAACATGCCCCTTCTCTTTGGTCCAATAATCCTTATACAGACTACTAATATATAAAGAATAAGTACTTGGCTTTACTAAATGGAATATCTTTTTTCTAATCTTGCCATCATAATGCAAATGCACCCCAGCAGAAAACACTAGAGCGTTCTGTTATTCATGGTTGTTCAGCGACAGAACTAATTTGAGAAGCAAAAAATAAACTTTCCAAACCTTCCATTTCCTTCCAAATAACTATCTACAGAAAGTCATCTTAATTTACATTTTTTGAGGCTTTATGCCACACACTTTTCAGTACCTTCAACATGAAAGAGATGGGCAATAATTTTCGCTATTATATTCACCTGGAGATTCAGTTTTTCATTCCAAACTCCCTTGAAGGGCATCTGGGTCGGGCAGTGACAATTACTGCTTAGAAACCAAATTAGGCTCCCAGAGTACCACACTGCATCCCGTTACGCCTTTAAACGCTCACTACCAACTCACGTCTCTCACTCTCTCTCTCTCTCTTTTTTTTGCACTTTTTTTTTCTCCCTCTTTAGAAAGACATTATACTTAAATGCTTTACCTATTTCTTCTCATCCTACATAATCATACAGATGTTTGTTCAACATCAAAAGTGTTCTCCTCTGTCCACCGACTACAACGGAAAACTTTAAATATGTATCTTTTTCTGCTCGAGAGTTTTCTTATACAATTCAAACAATAATATGGACTATCGGCAAGAGCGAACTGCGGCTAAGGTATAACAGAATTTCCCAAGCAACAACAAATGATGCATGAAACACTCCCCCCACCCCACTTTCTTGAACTTTGAATAACTTTCACATTCTATCTATCTACTTTTGTGGGAGGGAAGGAGGAGACTCTGGAGGAGGAGGACAAGAAGGAAGAGAAAAAGGAACATCAAAAACATATATATTTTTTTTAAGCAAAGGTCTTTTCAAGTATATGGAATTATCACTGATAATTTTTTTATTATTACACAAAGACACCTATCACCATTCACCTGGATACTTATATAAAGCTATACTCTGAGACAAAATACACATGTTAGAATTATGGACTAAAAAGTAATTACAGAGCCTTTATGTGAAACCCTAGAGATGATAAAACACTGTATCTGTACTGCTATGGTTACTGAAATTATATTAAGTTACTGTATAAAAAGAATAGCATCACAAGTGCATTTACAGCTAACACCAATAATTTGTTTCTAAATGAGGTATCTTTATTCAAAATGCCTGCTGCCATTCTTTTCTACCTACTTTATTTCAAGCTTCTTCTGGTCAAAGCTTAAGAATAATAATAAACAATATTAATGCTAAATATCATAATAAAGCCACATGAGATCTAACAATTGCAAAATGTCATAGGATGCCCTAAGTGCACCTCAGGGATTCAGTAAGCACATGACCATTTTTACAAAAAAACTTTAATACAACATCTTCCTCCTACCTACACCTTTTTTTTTCTCTCTCATAAAAAAAAGAAAAAAAAAAAAAAAAAAAATTCAAGGAGCATTGCTTCTGTCCTTCATTCACTGCACGCTCAACTGCAGCCCAATCTTCTGCTAATCCTCACCACTACATCGCAAAACAACCGTGCAGGTCTTGGATATTGATGTCCTCCTCCTCGCCTACCACTGTCCTCCAAACGACCCATCACTCCTGGAGGCCATTGCATGACGTTCCGAGTGGCAAATGTTGACAGCCGGTTGTCTCTTCCCCTTCCCCTTCTTGGCAACCCTATCAAGAACAGCTTAATAACTGTGGCCTCATCCAAGATTTGGTAACACATTCCCACTGCACATGAATTACTCACATATAAGTATATAAGCAAGATATAGCACACTTACATTTAGGTGAGTAAAGGCCTCCGAACGAGAGATAACCAGTCCATGTGCAATCGCAAAAGGCATTCAAGCTGTGTGTATTTAGAGGCAACCGCACAAAGAGACACGACAGGTGAGAAGTGGAAGGAGCAATGCATTTTCCTGACTTCCTCTGTATCTACCCCCATTATGGATATTAAAATTTGCATATTAGTTAAAATTCATATATAAAGATAAGAGTATATAAACAAATAAATAAATAAATAACAGATTTATCCGTACATCCAAGATTATATATATATATATATGTGTATATATATATATGTATATATATATATATATATATATATATATATATATATATATATATATATATATATATACACCTTTGAGCAATCAAGTTCGGTCATATACCTTGACCTAGTTTAGATTTTGTCCTCATAAAAAGGAAGATAAAATTCAAACATAATTTTCCAAGACCTCTGGTACAATTCAATAACAGTAATTATTCTCAGACTGCACCAGTACAAGATTTCTATCATAAAAGGAAAAGTTAATAGCCAAAGCATGGAGTATTTCTTATCGTAAAAAAGCCAATGGACAATTAGGAAATAATAACGAGTGTTACGCAAAACAGGAGAGAAAAACTTTCACACGCCATCACGCAGGAGAATCTTTCCAACCACCCGAAAACACAACTAAATTTGTTAAAGAGGCAGAGTGTTGTCTTTGGTTAGGAAAGCTTATGATTCTACTACCCTCCGGAACCTGATTTTCTACATTCACTCCATGTTCTGACAAAAATCAAAATGGAATTGGAAAAAAATACATTCATGCAGAGAAAATTTCACACCGACAGTAACAAATACATACCTATGATAGTCATGTACACAATAGATCTTATTGTCAACATCGACCGTGAAGGGAACACCATCCAGACACTCGTTGCAGATGCAGCAACGGAAGCAACCCGGATGATAAGATTTGCCCATTGCCTGTAATATCTGGTGGAGAAAAAGTTTCAATATGAATAACATCAATACATACTGACGACGGTGATGGTGTTCATATGATAAATAATAACACTAAGTACATTTCTCTTATTAGGTTATCAAATCATATATTTACAAGGCATGACAATAAACTAGTAATAAAAACATGTGTTGAAACGGATTAAAGATTCATATTCATTTGAAAAACTGAAAATCAATGACAAAAAACAGTAGAAATTTGATTAATTCTATTCATCTGAATACCATTGGGAAAGAAATAAAATCTTACCAATAGTAACATGAAAAAATTAGCTACAAAATCTAGTTTTTAAGCTTAAAAATACATGGACAACACTATACCAAAAAAATCATGCAAGGAAATCTCTTGAATTCATTAGTCATATTGCCAATTCTGACATAAACTCCACCTCTTGAAATGCCCTGTTACATCCAGTTCAAAGTGTGGTTAATAATAGTATAATTTTCCTTACGCTATTAATATATCCCTTATTATCCTTTAGAGATATATAAAAAAACAAGTTTAAATCACAATGACTATCATAAAAAATGAATTATTAAAAGAATTAAAAAATAACTATATAAAAACCCTGCATCTACTAAAAGACTGGTACCAACAACAATGATAAAAGAACCAACAGTGATAATCACACCACAACCACAACCCCCACAAGAACAGCCACACGTCCAAACCATGAACGAGCCAACTACAGCAGTGTGGCCCCTGCAGGACGCCCCGAGTGCCTTACCATTTCCATGATCAGATGGCCGCAGATGGCACATTTCTCTGCCGTCTGCTGGAAGCCGGAGTAGAGGTAGTCTTCCTCGCAGTAGACCTTGCCGTGGACATTATAGAAGGCCTTGCCCCGCAGCGCCCGGCCACAGGAACAGCAGATGAAGCAGTTGGTGTGGTACAGGTTGCCCATGGCCTGGCATGCCTGCCCTGCACCTGTCACTTTGTCCCCACACGTGTGACATATACCTGTTATGGGAGGGAAATTGTATTAGATTTTGGATAATTACAAAAAACAAAAACGGTTAGCATCTATTAAGAAAACAGTAAGTGCTGTGAAAACTATGTAGGAATTGTTTGTGCTAGGTAACTGTAGTTTAACATTGTGCTGCAATACACAATTATTTAACCCATTCACCCTGGAAAGATGTTCCAACATGTCATGGCAGACCACCCTTCATGCCAGGATGATGTCTTTTGAAGTTGCACAAACTAAAAAGTTATGTGCTTGTTTGGCCCTGGTTGTATTCATCACTGGGGAGAAATAACCTATCAATAGTAAACTCAATCCATCTTTTCAGCCTTTTTGCCAGCCCCCCCCCCCCAAAAAAAAAAAAACAAAACTTCAGCCTTTTTGTCAGCCCCTCCCTCACCCTAAAAAAGAAAATCTATAGCCAAGAGCACAGAGAACTGGGTGATCTTTCTTCCCACACTTTTCTTTCGACCTTTC